GGGAGAGGAGGTATGTATGTTTTGGAAACCTCACTGTTAATGATATTTTCAGCTGTAAACCCAATAATGGTAATATCTCATAAGATTCGGCCAGCTAAGGTTATTTAGATTAGTCCTAAATTCATATACTAAGCTAACAATGCAAAACCAATCTCTATAATAAAAGTATAATAATTAAATAATCAAACATTCAAACTGTTAAAACTAAATTTTGTTCATTGCATAGAAATTTTAAAACCCTCCAAACAAAAAATTAATCACAAGGAAAGGAAAGACTATTAAATTAAAAATAAAAATGGGTGCACACTAAAAAAACTTAAAAACCACAGTGCTTTTGAATTAAGAAATCAGTTCTAACACAAAAGTATAGTTCTTAGCTGCTGAACTGATTTAGTACTGATACCATGGCTGCTTGCGAACCCAACGAACTTGGATTCCAGAGTCAGTACGAATTTTAATAGAAGCTGCTTCACAGGCTCGGACAGTTTCCTTCACACTCTGCATCAAGTTTTGGGCATTACCAACCAACATATCTGTAGCTTCCTGATCTTCTTCAGTCCCTAATTTTCAAAAGAGTAAAAAACATATTTGATATAAAAACCAGTAATAAAATTGATTAAATAAACTTAGCTTTAGTGTTAAGAATTTACAAGTTCACATATACTGGTAAAAACAAAGAAAAAGAAGCCCAATAACATCAGTCTTATCACTCATATTGTTTGTAGCACACAAAAAACATTATCAATACTGTTCCCTCTGAAGCAGATATCATTGTACAGATGGTATTTTGAACTAAATAAGGCAAAGATTTTTCACCTATTTAACTGCATTAGTAAGATCACTCTATTTTCTAAATAAACACTTAAACAACTTGTTGATGGTTTTGATCCACTTTTATTTATTTTTCATAAGTCTTAAAACCAGTTGTAAATGAGAGCACTGACACAATACAAATACACCAAACCAACTCACTTTGGACACAAACTTGTAAGCTTCCTTAACAAATCTATATATGTAATGAACTGAAACTATACAATGGAACTACTTTCGAAAACAACAGTTATGTCATAAATTGAGACCCAAGTAAATGCAGCCATGACTGAAAATCCTCTTTAACTATAACAAAAAAAAAAGAGATAACAGTCTCAGAAAGAGAAAGCCACTAAGGGGACATTCTGAGCTTCCAATTGGTTATTCATGTCATATATAGAAGTAGGTGTATATAAAGGAGTGATTCCAAAAACTGAAAGAGGTAAGCGGGGTGCCACTGTGTTTGATTTATTACATGAACAATATCTTAGCAAATTGAAAAGATAAGAGGCTCTTATTTTATACTCTAACTTGTCAATATTGGCAATTTCAGTTTCTAATTACTACAAAACTATAGACTTAGTATTTTGACTTCACAAACATCTAATTTGAAC